AGGGAATGGCAAAGGACACGCTGACAAAGGAGATTAATCAGAACTGGCTTTGACAAGCACTGTGGCAATGGGACAATTAAAACAGACTCTCAAGGAACATTCAACTTGAATCCTTCTGGTCATATGGAGATCTTTGAAAGTATTTCTTTGAGTTTATTGTGTGTAATTTGTTTTATTTGTTTGTGTATAAAGAATGCTCATCTAGATGATAACATAATTATAATAAAAATAAAAGGGGGGAAATATGGGAAGCCAATAGTAAATATTTGGAATGAACCGAATGCTATTTAAAAAAAAAAAGAGAGAAAAAAAATAATGAAACAGGCCACAAATTGTTAGCTTAATGTTTAGGACTGTGCCAACGGGCCCATAAAGGTAATTTGCATTTATTGCCAAAAAAAAAAGAGAGAAAAGGAATAAATGAATGATACAATAATGGGGGAAATGAAACAGAAAATGAAACCATAGGTGAAGGCGCACACACACATGTACGTGGTGGGTGAGCTGCAGATTCTTCCAAGCTGGTGCCTCAAGAACGTGCCATCTCCCTTTTGGGAAAAGCACCAGGGCTGGGAGGGAGGGGAAATTTTACTTTTCAATTTTATGTCTTTCTACACCATTAGAATTTTCTTTATCATGTGCATATATTGCTTTTATTTTTAAAATAAAACTAAAAAAAATGCACTTTGTGTGTATAATTTAAGTATACAATATAAAAAAAGGCACCAGGGACTCATTGGATCTGGATTTGTTTGCTGATGTGAGTGATGGATGGTGAGATGGAAACTTTAATAAAAGGAGAATCTGGCACAAGTCTCCATCGGAGTCAGGCAGGAGCCCCAGGCCACCGGGGGCTACAACCTGGCCCCTCCCTTATACATCTGTCAAGGAAAGGGGGTTCCAGCCCCTCGAGGTCCTGTTGGTTGGGCTGACCCTGCTGTTCCTCCTGCTTCCCTCTCTCTGGGCGTCACTTTCTCTGATGCTCCCTGCCTGGGAGACCTATTTCTAGCCAGTGACATTATTTAAAGAAAGAGGTTCGCCCACTGCCTTTCCGGCTTGGGAAACCCTCTCAACTCCACCCACATTGCAGCTCTCCTGCCGGCCGCCCAGGCAGAGGGGAGGCAGCTGGCCAGCGGCTCCTTCTCAAATCCAGTGCTGCAGCTTCCCTGATGGTGACAGGAACCCCTCTCATTATCCACAGCACCCC